TCACGTGAGTAGATAAATGGGTACTCTCACTCCGGTGGGAGGAAAAATACTGGCGGCGTGCCTTGCGAAAAGGAGTCGGGAGCAGTTGCCAGTAGCGCGAAACCGCGCTTGCCCGAAAAAGGTGCGAAGCAACCGAAACCCCACCTCCTGCACTCGCCAGCTGGGCTCTGCTCTAGGAAGGAGGCTCTGGCAAACACTTCAGGAACGCCTTGCCTTGAAAACTGCAAAGGGCTCGTCCAAAAAGCAGTCACTGCAGAGTCGATAACGACTGAGTGCAGATAAAAAATAAATAAATAAGATGCTGTTCAGAGGGCTGCATATCAAAGTGAGTGCCATTTTAAGGAGCATGTAGAGTTCCACATTACATTGGTTCTGCTTTTTTCTCTCTATATATGGATGTATGTGCATGAATGTGCACTGAGCAAATAGTTTTTTAAATATTATTTTTCATCTACTTTTTATATACAGTAAATGATTGTGAGGTTCTTCTGGTGTAGCTGTAAAATGTTAAATATTTCTTTATATGCTTAGTCAATTAAGTAATTTTCACTTACTAAATATTTTGTCAATACAGATATGTTATTTTAAGCTTTTCCATAACAGTGTCAGGAAGGCACATTCTGCTCCAGCTCTACTGAAATCTCAGTCCAAAGTTATCTGTTCAGGGAAATTCTCACAATGGGAGTTAAGGATAATAATTGTCGTATGTTATCATTTGCTTTTAAACTACAGTCCTGCAATGAGTTCTACATAGACTGACACAAGATCCGGGAAATGAAGCCTGCCAGTTTAAAATTAAAATCACATGTAAAGCATTCAATTCCAAATAGTTTATTGCTCTATCCTTATAAAAAAAATTATGTAATCACCGTTAGTGTAAATGGTAACATGTAATTTTGTTCTAATGGATAACGGTACTTGCTTAAGCAGCAAACTCAGTGTTCTAATAGTATTTGCTAGAGAAGCATGCCTTAAGAAATCCAGGGTGAAAATGTTTATACAATATTAAACATAATACACAGTCTTCTAGTGTGACAACATTAGGCTCCTTTCCAAGCGACAGTTCAAGAATTTCATTCTGGCAAGTGAGACGTAGCCCTTAGCAAGCAAGAAGTAGCTATGATTTCTCTCAGCCTATTTTATATAGCTAGACCAGCTTTCCAGATTTGGTGCATCAGCTTCAAAAAGCTAAATAAACCACATTGCCTGACCACATTTGGGTCAGTCCTCATCGTATCAGTCTTCTGATGCAACTGGAGTTGGCTGTGCCATTTCTCTGCTTTTAGTTGTTGCTTCAGGATATGCACTATCTCGTGTTATTTACTCAGTTATCACCCATTTCCCTGGTTTAATTCCTGCTGTGCAATATGTTCACACCATAAACCAGGAACGTTGAGCTTGAAATAGTGGGGCTACATGTGGCCCTTCAAGATTTGCATGTTTGAAGTGGAAAATTAAAACACATAGGAATCATATTAGCTGTATGTAATTTGCTTAATTAAAATTGAATTTAAATATACATTTCATTTTGGCCCGCTCACTTCTTTTTCCTGGCTCAATGGACTGGCATGCTACTTGAAGGCTCTGTGGCTAGAAAAACATTGCATACCACTGTTGTAATGGAAGTGTTGTACACACACGCTCACACACACTGATCTCTGTTTATCGTTTTCCCTCATGAGTGCTTTTGGTCTCCATCATGGCTAATCTTAAAAAATAGAGTTGGTGAAGGAAGGTGCTGCAAAGAAAGGAGGTGAAATAAACTTGGAGGAAGCTGTACTTATTTGTGCGGATTTATTTTGGCATTGAAATGGATGCCTGTTGTGGATGGATGGAGCCACTTGAACTAATCTCAGAAGGGTTCAAGGCTTTACACCTGTTTGCCAGAAGTACTCTCCCTGATCTTGCCATCCACTGTGTACCTCTGCTGCTCCTTCATGCGCTCCTAAACTCTCCAGAAACTTTGGGGAAGAGAACAGACAATTAGCATCAAGTACAAGACTAGGAGAATAAATTCCTGCATCACTAGTGTTGCACAGATACTTTCCAGTAGGACGAAAAAGGGTAATAGTGATGTTTGAGGTAAGGTTTCAAATGCTGTCAGGGTATTTCATAATGAAACAGTGTGCACTGAATAGTGTTCCTTTGGTCATAAAATGAAATTTTAAGATTTAGGATAACTTACTACCTAGTGCAGCTCAAGAATGGGTAATCTTTGGAAGCTTACATTTTTGAGAGTTGCTAGAGCTTCTGTGAGTGAATTGATGAGATGCATCCTAGGTTAGGCTGTATTAAATATAGAGGTAGGGCCAGGGTTTATCTCTTTGTGGAAGAGCACAAATGCTCTGGGCCATGACTTAATCCAGGAGCTGCATCGGGCTGGACACCTTGATGCCTTCCAGAGCCACCTGGGATGCACCCAGCACCTTCTTCAGTCCCTGCAAACCTTTCTTGAGCTCAACCATCTGCTCTTTGACTCTCCAGTGCACAGTTCTTCTCTTCCATCTCAGACACCAGCTGCAGGGCTTCATTTTGCTTCCTCACCATGTTGTCCAATTTCCAGTGTAGCTCCTTCAAGATGTAACTCTCCAGGTTTTCACCTGCTATATTGCTAGCCTCTTGGGTCATCTTCTTGAGGAAGTTATTTCTCACAAACATCATCTCCTCCCTCTGCTCCTCCAGCTTCAGGCGCAGCTTCCCCAATTCCTCTTTCTCCAGTGAGAGCTGTTGGGACAAGACATCCGTAGGCTGCTTCAGCTCTCCGACCAGGCACCCTGTCGTCTCTGCCTGAGGAGAACCCTCTTTGGAACAATGTAATTTCTCTAGCTCCTCTTGCAGCTTCTCTCTTTCTCTGCTCAACTGAGCCAGTTCTTTTACAAGGCCACCATTGTTCTGCTTGAGGTCCCACACCTCCTTCTCCAGGTCAGAGCTTTTTTGACATGGACAAGCCTTGTTTTCTACCAGCTTTGGCCTGAGCTTCACCTGCCCAACAGGCCCATTAGGGTTACCCCCTGCTGTAGACCTCTTTGTAATCATGCATAAAACTGGCCCAGAAAAGGGACTTGGTGTATTTTATACTGCTGCTGAAACTTAATGAATGCGACTTTATATAGTGCCCGGAGGAGAGATCCCCTTGGAACCATGTGAAATGTGCTTTTGGGTCCTCCATAGAAAGGCTAAGTTATGAGTGTAATAATATTAATTAGAAACAGATAACTGGGAAATGATATGGATACAATAATCTTAGCTGTAAATATGTTCATATTTACAACTAGCTGTAAATGTGTTCTTCAGTAAGTGCTTAAGCTGATCAGAAAATTATAACATTAGTAATAGAAAAAAAAATACCCTTGATAATCCAAAAGAAAATCTGGCTATTTTTCAGTGCAAAGAGAAGTAAATGAATCTCTAATCCTTAAGATGATTTCCGATTCTAATTTTGGCCGCAGACCGCGTGGTGTCAATGACTGTGTTAAGAGATCACCTATAAGCCATTTGGATCTGTGAGCACTGATATTCCTGGAATGATCAGATCCTTCTGATTTATCAGCTTTACTATGGTGCTTAATCTGTATAATGCACTATAATTCCAACAAACTGCAATGAATTTTTATGAATTCGTTTATTAGCAGCAGATACATGCACGCACACACACATGAAGCAAAGCAGTGCTACTTGATCACTGTGTGCCAGTTAATTTTACCACTTTTCTTCTTTTACAGGAGCCAAGATGCAAAGATTCAAATGAGTATTTTGACATTGGATATGAAAGCCTTCCTACAGACCTTTTTGTTCCTTCCCATTTCTCTGGTTCTCTGTGGTCCCCTAGCTCTGGCCAGATTTTGCCGCAAAGAAGTGAGTCAGCTAATGCAATCAGCAGTGACATCCTAAGACAAAATATTTATGAAAATTTCATGCGAGAGCTTGACCTGAGCAGGACCAACATTGAGAACACAGACTCTTCTATGGAAACTGAGGACTCGAGCAGTGAGTCACTCAGCTCCTTAGAGCACTTGGACCTGTTGTATGAGAAGGAACAAGGAGTCATCCGTAAGGCTGGATGGCTTTTCTTCAGACCTCTTGTGACCCTACAGAAAGAGAAGAAACTTGAGCTAATTACCCGGAAGAAATGGAAACAGTACTGGGTAACACTAAAAGGTCAGCCACAGCTTGTGATATTCACTGTTTAGCAATCCATTTCTAATGCCTTTCAGCATCTGTTGCAAATGTCCTTTGATCACTCTTACCTGAACATTTAACATGCACATTCAACACATTGAAGTGTAAATACCCCGTGACAGCAAAACTGGCTAAATTATTTCAAATCACATTATAAGGCCGCTCCACCTACAACATTTGCATCAGTCCAGGATTAGCAACATGCTCCTGTGGTTTTACAATTGATCTCTTTTGTAGCTGAACTGATTAACTTCCTGCTCAACTGTGATGCTAGAGAAAACTGTGAAACCAGTTTTGTATTTGCAACATTCATCCTGAAGCTGCAAGGCAGAGAGTTTTTCATCCTGACTCTCCTCACTTGCCACCCTTACAAAAGTCAAGGAGCCATGGGTCTTGTCACCATTTTGCTATGCTTTTTAATTGGAATGACTTTTTTCCTTGCTGCAAGACAGATGCAGTGAGGCAGAGACAAGGATGAGACCAGATGGCAATTTTTACTTCCCATCATTGGTCAATTAGAGGGAGTGCTGATTGACTCATGAGCACTAAGCACTGTGAGGAAGATAGTGATGAGGACATTCTTAAGGTGGCATGAAAATGTTTCTAGGGGTTGAGAAGTGGGGCTGGATCTGAATCCTCAGCCTCCTATTGTAAAAGCCACTAGTGGAGTTGGCTCACTGTCTTTGCATGCTCTTACTGGAAGAAAGACCAGCTTAGTACATACTTGGTTATGTCCTTTCCCCTTTATATCTAATTTTTAGAAGTTTCTTTGCCAGTTGTCCATTAGTCCAATGGGAAGGAAGAAAATAGACATACTTTCCTGCAAGTGAAACACTAATGAATAATGAAAGATACTAATAATTTTTTTCAAAGCAGACACTCATAGAAAGAGACGAGCAGAACCTGCAACTAGCAGTCCCCTGAAAACGTAGAGTCCTATATAGGTCATGACTAACCAAGACTCATCGCAGTGTAATTGCCTCCTGTGTCCAGGAACAGCATGAAGGGGGTATAATACAATTATGAGGGTGTAGGACTGTGTTGCTGACATGCTTCCAGTGTTTCTCAAAACAGTTATATGCAGCTTGGGAACAGTTGCTTCCATATAGTGTGGACTTCTAGATATCCAACAAATATTTTCTTGCTTGCTTAAAGTTAAGTTGGCTGGTTGGCTTGAAAGTTATCGATTCTGACTTAAAAGCCTTGTTCTCTAATTCCTATGTATAAGGAAGAAGCTGGCAATGATTATGTAGCATTTTTTTAAAAAAATGCTGTTTATATTTGGTATATCCTGTTGCAGCATCTGCTTTGAGGCTGGGATGAGGTAGAGGAAAAAGAATAAGTTTGGACAAGATTTGCTTATGGTTGAACATTGAAGATATATTCCGTTGCCACATTTCCAGTATTAAGATTGCAGCTCCCAGGATTCCCAGCCGGCATGGAGGCACCAGGTTACATTAATGCTATGTAAGCTACACTGGTGCTTTAAGATAAATATTGACAGTGCTAGAAATGTAGAAATTGGGATTTATTTTTTAAAAGTGGAGGGGGAAACCAGGTTTAATAAAAACGGAACTTCTTAACATCAAACTCATCAAGTTAATCATTCTCTAGTTGGATTTTTCTAGGGTTTCTTTACAGCTAAGCTACTGTCTTTTTCTCCAAAGAAGCTGAAATGTGACCAGTAATTGGTTAAGGCTTCAGCCCCTGAATTCAGATGCATCTCTTACGTTTGGGATGTAGGGGCTTAATGGTCAACCAGGCCTACTGACAATTGGTAGAAATGGAAGAAATAATACATATATATTTTTCCAACTCCTTGTTGAATTTTGTAGTGCAAGTATAGATCAAATTTGCCTTCAGGAAATTGCAGCATATTTCTACAAAACCATGCAGGCATCTTCTTATATCTTATTTTACAGCTTGATGAGCCTCAAGACGAAACATGTGCATCCAAAATTTTTATCAAGAATCACAAGTAGTTTGAACTGATACTGTATCAGCCTTGCAGGGTAAACCAGATAAGAATCACAACCAGATGAGCTAATTCTACTTTATCGTAAAGCTGCATGGACAGAATCTTTGCAAATCTGAAAGTACAGTTCTCACCCCATCTCCTTTATAGCCTGAGAAATTAGGGAGGGTCTCTTCTGAGCCTTTTGCCCAGCCGACTATCCAGTTGTGGGCTTTGCTGTCTCTTATCTGACCATTCCCTTGGCAGCGTCTCTTTGCCCAGTCTCCCAAGGCCTTTCCACATACCATTACATACTGCCAGTCTTTGCTTTGGGCTTACCACACTTCCTACTACTAAACCATGTCAGTCTTGTAGACGGAGATATCAAATTTATGGAAATTTTGAAACTAGCTTTTTTCAAATTAAAAAAGTCAGAATTTTTTAAAAAAAATTTAAAAACCTATTACATATATAAAATTATTTCACTACTTTATAAAGTGTTTCATGTGTACCTTCATTTTGCTTATAAAATAAGCTTGTATAACATTCAAAAGTTTATTCAGTTGTAAATATTAATTGAGGTTACTTTATCAATTGTAAACTAAAATTATAATTTTAAGGATAATTATTTTATAATTATTAAAAAGGGGAAATCTATGGCTCACTGTTTACATTTTGCTACATTTTGATCTCATTTTTTGAATCTAAAGTACAATAATACTGTTATCAGCAGCATCCATTCTTTTGTTTCTTAAAATCATTACTTCATTTTCATGCTTCTGCAAACTATATTGAGACAAGCTTTTTACTCTTTTACATGCTTGTTTATTTCCTGATCATGTGTGAACCTTCCAAACACAATCCAACTTTATTCACATTTTAACCTTTCTATGTATCATTTAAAATGAAAATGTTAGCAGATAATTAATCTTTCTTCTCCACATTTTTTCCAATTTTCAAGGAAAAACAAAATAAAATTGAATTTTTCCTGTAGTCTGGATTTTATAGTAGAATTTTCTTTGCTCTTTTTTTTAATATATATTGTCAAGCCCTTAGAAGTCACATGATCAAGCGCTAGTGAGTTGGTGTATTAATGACTTAAAAATGACTAATATACACACACACATACAAGCTTCATGCTACTCTTAAAAACGGTATGCTGTGATCTTGTCTTTTCTTGACCTGCATTTAATTTATCAGTATCTGGAAAGATTGCAACCATCTGGTCAGCTGCCAAAGTAAATTGATTGGTGTCCTGAGACTTCCGTGGGCTTAAAGCATTACCAAGACTATTCCTTTAACATGGAACGTTTTTCTTTCCCTCTGTGCTGTTTAATTATTTTATCTGAGCAAGGGACTACATTCCAGGCATGTGCTGATTGTAGCCAGTATGCTGTAATCTGGCCTTGGGGAACAGCCTCAGGAAGGCCATCTTGCCTCATCTGTGGATGAACCATAACTGATATTTATCTGTGAGCAAAAAATATCTGTCAGCGGCCAGCTCCCACATCAAATGGCAAAATAAAATCAAGCTGATTGGTTGTTTCCATGTTCCTCTTTATATTGGAGAGTTATTCCAAATTAATTTTTGTATCAATTAAGACAAAATTCTGTATTTCAGAGGGATGTTGGTATAATTCATGACTTCTTTTTTATTTTATGAAGGATGCACTCTATTGTTTTATGAGACTTATGGGAAGAATTCCTTGGAGCAAAATAGTTTACCCCGGTATGCTCTGTTTGGAGAAGGCTGTATAGTACAATCTTGCCCAGAACACCCAAAGAAAGAGAATGTTTTCTGTCTCAGCAACTCTTTTGGAGATGTCTACTTATTCCAGGTATTCTTCTAGTATATAATATTTTTGTACATTATCAAAGTATTAAAGTCCACAGTATTGAATATATGTGCTTTTTATCTGTATGTCTGTCTGTCTATCCATCTGATTTTAGCCCACCACAATTGGTTGACTCCTGGTGGGTTACAATCAGTAATTTTGCAATAAGATATTCATTGTACAATCATTCAAAAGTAAACAGTCAAAAATTAAAAACACAGGATAGGATCAAAGTTAAAGTTCTAACAAGAACAAACTAGAAGAAATAGACATTTAACACCAAACGGACCTATGAACTGGTAGTTTTCCATTCAACTTTCTGGCCCATCCTTCCCCAGCTTGAGCAGCCATTGGATTTGTGGATTTCTGCTGTGAACATTGTCACAAATGGTGGTGCAAGCTGGGGAGTTCTGGGAGTTGAAGTCACACAAGAAAGTCTATTCAGGATTAAAAGAAAAAAGTTGGTTAATTTGTCAAGAAAGCTGTCACTAAATTAAAGAAATTTCAGGTGCTTTAATGTTACGAATTTGAATTTAATTAATTGTGCATAACTTTGCATATATATAAAAAAGAGAAAATTGCTTTTGGTTGATTTCTGTTGGAGAATATGCATGCATTATATAGGAAAAGACATCTCTTCAGTGGGTGTAAGCAAGAAAAAATAACGCCTTTTTGAAGTTACGGTTTCCACTCATGTCTGTTACATGTACACATTAGGTTCACAATAGTCCTGTGCATAGATAGTTTGCTTTTGCATCCAAGACTCTCAACATCAAAGAAGCCCAACTTACCTTGTATCCATTGATGATGACTCCTACCCAACTCGATTAAATTCTAGATCGAATCCATCCCCATCACTATATTTCTAAGGGAAAACATAAATTTATTTTTGATATTAAATATGCAGGGAAGTTAGAACATAGATATGGGAAACGCATCAGATGTTATAGAAGTTCATTCAGAGGTTTTTATGCTGTGCTGTTTTATGTCCTGGTTTGGTATGCAACTTTTGAGATAGAACGTAATGATTTTTTCAGCAAAATTGAGATTCTGCAATGGCAGAATTTGTAATGGGCATGAAAGAGTGATAGAAGGAAATAGTTACAATCTTCCTTTTTGAATGCAGTAGAAAAGAATTTTTTTACATCCTTGAATTATAGGAAAATATAGTCCATAAGCTGCTCGGGTAGATATGAGATATGATATATCCTCTCTATGTAAATTGGAGATAGGAAATAGGGAGAAAAGTAAATGGTTAAAAGAATTAGTCTTTAAGATGTTATAATTGGACCATTCAGTAGATGGTTGTCAGATCACAAAGATCACTCTTGATTGTAGGGCAGACCTCTTACTCATTCCAGTTCTCTCTTCTCACCAAGGCATTTGCAAACCCCAAAATATTTACTGTTTTGGGTGCAGTTATTTCAAATTATGTATCAGAGGTGGAACTTTATGCAGGATTTGAACTGAGAATAGAGCAAATTAGAGGCCACTTTGAGTTAAATCACTCCAAATTGGACTGATCAGCTCTGGGTTGGGGGTTCATTTTGAGGCAGTGTATAGACCATAATGTAGTTTAATTATTTTGGCTTCTGTGTTGTTGAACTCAGCCACTATGGTTTATTCAACCAACTCTAGTTAAGCAAACTGCAGCTTAGCATAATGTGTCAACCAAGTCTTATTTTTGTTAATTTTTGGTAATAGAAAATTGACTAATCATTTCTTGGCATTTTGGGGATCCTCCTTTGAAATGATTTTTTTTTTTTTTTTTACTGCTTTGGTCTAGTATTTTCATTTAAATGCTGTGTATTACAGGTCAAAAATGCATAACCTGGACATAAGAATGCCACTTAAAATAGCATCGCTGTGTTGAATTCAATGTACGCTTCATATAATTGGCAAGACAACATGTCTTCTGATATGACACTTTGGTTTTCTTTGTGCCACAGGATGGGCTGCTGGGATGGAGGTGTCAGGTGAAGGCTAGGTCATACTTAAAAGAAATAAGTTAAAATCAATAGGAAGTTAACCATGGCAAAATTTAAGTCCCAGTGATTGCAGCATGATGAAAACTACTGTAGATCCAACACACTTTGTCAGGAACAGGGAACATATAGCTCTTCAGATGTTGCTGAGAAGCAACATGCTGGCTGAATTGGATGGGAGCAGGTCACAGATTCCTGACTGTAACATAGTAGGAAGACAAATTTTTGGTGGCGTGCATAAGTCACACTCAATACAGTACAATACTGACCTTTACATATAACTTCCACATGCTGCTTATTATATCAGCTGTTAGCATAAGGCAGGCATAATGATAGGAAGAAAACAGATGGGTGGATTGCAGTGTTTCTGATGCAGTAATAGACTGCATTCTTCTGTATAATCAACCCTGTGCAGCCCCTGCATTTTCCTACACCGAAAGCATTTCCTGTTGTATATAAGAGACTCTTAATGCATTACAGAAATCTTTAGGACATGGCATAAACTGTTATTGGACAGCCACTGAAGTTGTCTTCCTGCTTCTTCATTTGCAGTTATTTTCTATACAATTTCCATTCACTGTATTTTTTAAAATTAAGCTAATGGTAGGTTATGTATTTGCCATCCTTGCAGTCAAGCATCCTATGATGAATTTCAACGTTTATACAAAGTTCTTCCTTTTTAGATAACACCTAAGAATTATTAGTAATTACAGTTGCCAACGCTTCAGGGCAGTGTTAGTATAGCAGAAACCTTTCATCATTTGAGGGGAAAAGTTGCATGCAGTCATCATGGAATTGATCTCACACTGTTGTCCATTGGTTCTGGAACTAGGTAAGCTGTATTTTAGCATTCTGTTTATAGTGTTTGATTTTTTATTTCATTGTTTTAGGCTACAAGCCAGACTGACCTTGAAAACTGGGTTACAGCGATACATTCTGCTTCTGCGTCTCTCTTTGCAAAGAAGCTTGGGAAGGAAGATACAGTCAGATTGCTGAAAAATCAAACTAAAGCCCTTAACCAGAAGATTGACATGGACAGCAAGATGAAAAAAATGGCTGAGCTCCAACTCTTGATTGTTAGTGATCCTAAAAACAGGAAAGCAATTGAAAACCAGGTACTATGCAGCCGATTAACTTCTACACATTTATCATTGCAAAATGCTGTGTCTTTGCCATTTGTTAATATTTTTAGGCTAGAAAGCAAGCATTTTGAAGACAATATGTTGCAGATGAGGAAATCACTGTTGCGGTAGAATTGACTGAGCATATGTTTAAGGAAGCTATCGTGGGTAACTGTTCTTGGCATCCGCTACTTCCACATGTGGAAGTAGTTATTTCTGTAGAATTCTGAAAAGAGATACATGAAAATATTCACATTCTGCTGTATAAATTGGGAGAGTCAACACAAAACAGTCCTGCTGCTATCTGAACAATTGTCACCAGACATGTTACACCCTCTGCATCAAAGGCTTTCTGAAAAAGTTCTGTCTTCAGAGCTTTCTTAAATAATGGTTGGGAAGGGGGCATTTTAACCTCAGGAGGCAAGCTGTTCCCAAGCAGGGGAGATAGGATTGAGAAGGCTTCTGCTGTTCTAGCATTCTGGAGGGTCGGGGTAATCCGCCACATGCTCTCTTGACCTCTGGGTGTTAGGTGGGAAGATTTTACCTGGAACAGATAGTCCTGAAGTTACCAAGGCACGATATAGGAAATAACTAGCAATTGAATTGAGGCTGGAGCCCTAGTGGTAACCCATGCAGTTCCCATAATATTTGTGTTATTCTGTTGTCTTGGCTTGCACCAGTCAGCAAGCATCCAGTTGCATTTTGCACTGTTGTAGCTTCCCAATTCTCTTTAAGGGCAGCCTCATGTAAAGGAAATTGCAGTAATCCAAGCATGAGATGGCCAAAGCATGAGTTCTACTTCCTAAAGCTTCTTGGTTCGGGAAAGGCTGCAACTAGCATATCAGCTGAAGCTGGTAACAGCTGTCCTGTTCTGGCAGGAACTGCATGTTCAGGAGGACCCCAGGTTGCTCATCTGTCCTTCTGAAATAGTGCTATCCCATCCAGAGCTAAGGGTTCTGCAAAAGGACCCTGGGAATTGTTGTAAGCCTATTTTGTCCGTCACAGTTTCCAGGCACCAGGTCAAGATTTCCACTGTTTGGTGTGGAGTGAAGATGTGTAGCTGGGCACCATCAACCTCCCAGAGTGGGAAGATATTAAAGAAAATGGGAGAAGGGGCCAAGTCCTAAGACACTCCACACTCGGAGGTCTAAGGGTTCGATCTGTCTTCTCCCACTAACAGGAATTGCTCACGCAGAAAGGAATGGAACTGCTGTAAAACAGTGCCTCTGACCCCCAGCCTATTGAAGTGAGCTTCTAGAAAACACCTGAAACTATTGCGACTTTAACAGAGGAGATAGCAAATCGCTATAGGCTAAACTTAAATAGAAATGCTGCACAAGTTGTACAGTAAACATAAAAAGAATTATCTAACACAACTGTCTGTTTTGCTAATATCAGAAAGCCTAATGGATGCCTTACAAGCTGCTCACAACCAGGATGTTATACTTGCGTTCCCCAGAAACTGATATTAAGAAGTTTAATATCTTTGATGTCAGATTACAGCTCTTAATAGTGTTATCTTTTATCAGTTTGTGTGACTTTCTTTTAAACCATTCAAGTTGGCAGTCATTCCACAATTTAATTATGCATTAAATTTGATGGCAGGTGGAAGGTATCATTCAGGAGTGCCTCTTGTAAAGGATTTATTTTGAAATCCTTTGGGCTAAAATAATTTTTTCATTTTAAAATACAGTGGTACCTCGGGTCACGAACTTAATTCGTTCCACGACTTTGGTCGTGACCCGAATCAAATTTTCCCATAAGGTTCAATGTAAATACGGTTAATCCATTCTGACCCCTACGAATTTGGTCGCCAACTGATTTTGGTCACGATCTGAATCAAATTGTCCCATAAAGTTCAATGTAAATACGGTTAATCCATTCTGACCCCTACGAATTTGGTCGCCAACTGATTTTGGTCACGATCTGAATCAAATTGTCCCATAAAGTTCAATGTAAATACGGTTAATCCATTCTGACCCCTACGAATTTGGTCGCCAACTGATTTTGGTCACGATCTGAATCAAATTGTCCCATAAAGTTCAATGTAAATACGGTTAATCCATTCTGACCCCTACGAATTTGGTCGCCAACTGATTTTGGTCACGATCTGAATCAAATTGTCCCATAAAGTTCAATGTAAATACAGTTAATCCGTTCTGAACCATATGTTTTTTTTTTTAAACCACAAAA